GGCAAGTCGCTCAGTACAAATGTAATCAGGAAACCTTTGCAGTTTTGTATCCAAACCTTTTCTGTAAACCCAGAACAATACCTTCAGAATTGTCAATACCGATTTGCAGTACAGTACTCCAAGGCACTGCTGATGACGGAACAGCCAGCTTGGCTTGTCAGCGGGATTCGGAGGAGATTCAGAATTCCTGGCACTTGGCCTCAGTTAACCCTACAATCCAAAGCCTTAACAGGTGGGATGGGCCTCGTCTGGACAAACAGTGGGAAACTTTACCCCACATCAGTGGTGGCCAATCTTTGTGGTCGTTGAACAAAATATATTTTCTTGATTGAATATTTCTTGATGTATACCGTAACTGAGAACACAACACCGATCGAACCTAGACTTAGCTGGACTCCTTATCACAGGACACCGATTATTCAGAATGATCGAGGGGTTGCTTCTTGACGGGGCCACAGGTTGACTATCTCTGCATTAGACTGTTCACAATGTTAAGCTTTACAGTTTTAGTTGCATAAAATAGTGTTCAAAGGGCTCAGTGAATAAGAAGCAACATTCAACAACAACAATGAATTACATTTGTGTAGTAGCTTTCATGTTAGGAGGACGTCCCAAAGCGCTGGACTGTCAGGGATCCTCACCCGAGCTGGTGGTTGGGATCAGGAGGGGTGGAGGGTGGGGAGGGTAGGAGTAGAAAGGTGACCAAAGAGGAGGGTATTGAGACAGGTCTCAAGGAGGAGGCAAGGGAGAGGTGAGGCGGAGGGACTGTGGGATAGAGTTCCAGAGGGTGAAGGCGGAGTGGCTGAAGGCCCGATTGCTGATGAATTCCCATTCTTTGAGGAAATAATACACTATGCTGTACGAGACGTGATTACAATAATTGTGTTCATGTAATGATTTGCTGGGCGAAAGCTGGAAATAGAATGGATCAGGAGCAGCAAAAACAGCTCCCAAATAATGGAAGTGTGCTGCTTAGGTCAGGTCTCAAGTTGTTCAGTCATTAGTGCACAAACCTGTTGAAATGCTGTTGTCAAATCCAAGCACAGCTGAATGATCTTGCTTTTCATCCCTTAATAATCGCTTATTAAAAGGAAATGGTCTTTAGAATGGTAATGTACCAGACACGCATCAAGTCTCCATAGACAATAAACCCACAGCATTAGTAAATGTATTTAGGGCAGGAAGATTTTCAGTCAGACCTGAATGTGTCAGAACCTAAGGCAATGATCAGATGCAGAGCAACAAATGGCCTTCAATTTGACACCGAGTTGACAGTTTCACCGAGTGGTTGTAGAATTACACTCCCCATTAAAGCTGGGTGAATGCTCCACAGTCAATAACTGCCATTACTCTTCATATTGATCGATTCACTGGACCATTCTTGGCAGCTGATAACATCCACCTGTCATTAGCTGTTGTCCTACACTTGATAGTGAATGTTTAAGAAAGCAAAATGAAAGCTTCAACCCACGTGAAAACCACTTCCTCATGTGAAATTGAATTACACTCACCAATAATGTCCCAAATTTGATTCCTCCATCTGTGCTGGGTTAGTTCATCTCAAATTACATCAGCATCTCTGATTTAGGGTGGACGAAAAAATCTATTGATTTTCCTACTCCGATCGCCTTGCCTGCTGGAAAGTGTACATTTTTGGCCACTGAACTGTACTCCGGCATCAATCAACAATAACAAAATTACATTTGTATATCGCCTTTCACATCAGGAGGATTTCCCAATAAACTTCTTAAGGACAGAACTCTGTAGGACCAAAAAGAATTTAGCAAAAATACGTATGAAAATAGTGAAGGGGCTATAATAATAATAATTTTACAATCATTTGATAAAGCATTAAAGAATCACAAGTATTTCACACAGATCTCTTGTAAAGTGTAGTGACTGGGTATTTGAAAGCTATCCCACAGAAGGAATCCAAAACTTTCAACTGCTTTGACCTTACTCAGGTGTGGAGTCCTGTAGCTTAGTGGTTAGAGCACTCACCTCGCAAGCGAGCGGACTTGTGTTTGATTCCCGAGCAGGGCAAAACATTGGGCAAGTTTCCTTACACCATAAACTTCTGTGTACCTGGCAGTAAGTAGGAACCCAGTTGTTAGTTGATTGGCAGATTGCTTTTCCTGGGGTAATAATCACTTAAAAATAATAATAATTTAGTCACTCAATCCACAACTGTGTCATCCCCAAAATATACAGTCAATTAACTTTACAGTATATTCAGTGAAGTGCTTTGAGATGTCTAGAGACGCGATAAGGCGTTATATCAAATGCAAGGATTATTATTATTACTGAACCGAAATTACATCTTCATGATAAGAGCTGGATGAAAGCCAATAGATTAATGATAAAAACAAAATTCTTGTTTGGATTCCCTTCAAACAGGAGAAACTCCATTCCTGATGTGCATTGTGTCAAATTCCTGTGGGTCAACGTGACATATATTTGGCTACGAGAAGGAGTCCCAATATGCACAACTCAGACTCTTTAAAGAATCCTGTTGAGAAATCCTGTAGCTCAGCGGTTACAGCACTCGCCTCGCACACGAGAGAACCTGGGTTCAATTCTTGGCAAGGCGAATCGTTGGGTAAGTTTCGTTACTCCACAGGAAGTAATCTGACGGCGCAGATCGCTTTTCCCGGGGTAATAATCTACTCAAAAAAACCCTGAATAACTAATAATAATTTGATCACTGATTCCATGACTGTTTGTGGGACATTGCTGTGTCAATTAGCTGCCATGTTTTTGCCCACAGATCAATTCATTTTACAGTACCTTGAAGAAGTTCTGCTCTTCTCTTCGACGTGACTTTCGTTCTTCCCTTTTACCCTGCACTCCTTCTGTTTTTGTTTCACTTTACAGTATGTTGTGCAAAGTGCTTTGAGACATCTCGAAGATGTGATAAGGCGCTATATCAAAAGCAAGGATTATTGTTATAAATACCACAAATTAGACCCATTATAATGTTGCTCCCAATGGCTTCCTGCCTATTGTTATTTCTGCACCAGGAAGTATTCACTTCAGTTCCCCCTTTGGACCTGGTTTGTTTTTTCTATTCATTGTGGACACAGGCCGCATTGAATATGAGTTGCAGGCTTCAAATATTTGTGTAGCAAATACATTGAAAGAAAATCTGTCTGAGTACCTCCCTTGGATTCATTGAAATTCGACAAAAATAAGACTTGAATCCCCTGAGCCAAATATATTATTGTGTTGGAATACACATAAAGCAATTGTGTGACCTTTATTTCAAAATAGCAACTGGTGTCACGGTCCCTTGACAATATACAAACTGTTTCCAGCACTTAATTTATCCAGATGCTCTCACTTCATATAATAATAATCCTTGCATTTGATATTGCGCTTTTCCTCGGGGTGGGGGACGTACGCCGGGGGGGGAAAGTGGGGGTTAGCGGGTTAGACTCCAGCAGATACCCCAAGGAGAGCGCGCGGTGGGGTAACTGCTGGAGTCTAACCCGCTAAGCCCGCACATGGGTGTTGCTGTCCGGCGAGCTTTCCCGCTGCTTGTCCAGCTCGGACCACCCTGCCCGAGGGTCCCGGCTTTGCAGGGTTAACAGGAGCTGAGTGGGATGAAGCTCATAGCGAAGCAAATCAGACTGAGGGTGGAGCAGAGATCCCTCCCCTTTGAGGAGTATCGACGGAAGCAGCTGTGAGATGCAACCTGATGCTGGGGACCGTGGGAGGGAGGGAGGGAGAGAGGGGCTACAGGCACTGAGAGAGAGAGAGAGAGAGAGAGAGGGGCTACAGGCACTGAGAGAGAGAGAGAGAGAGAGAGGGGGGCTACAGGCACTGAGAGAGAGAGAGAGAGAGAGGGGCTACAGGCACTGAGAGAGAGAGAGAGAGAGAGGGGCTACAGGCACTGAGTGTGTGAGAGAGAGAGAGGGGCTACAGGCACTGAGAGAGAGAGAGAGAGAGGGGCTACAGGCACTGAGAGAGAGAGAGAGAGAGAGAGAGAGAGGCTACAGGCACTGAGTGAGAGAGAGAGAGAGGGGCTACAGGCACTGAGAGAGAGAGAGAGAGAGAGGGGCTACAGGCACTGAGTGAGAGAGAGAGAGAGAGAGGGGCTACAGGCACTGAGTGAGAGAGAGAGAGAGAGAGGGGCTACAGGCACTGAGTGAGAGAGAGAGAGAGAGAGGGGCTACAGGCACTGAGAGAGAGAGAGGGGGTACAGGCACTGAGAGAGAGAGAGAGAGAGAGGGGCTACAGGCACTGAGAGAGAGAGAGAGAGGGGCTACAGGCACTGAGTGAGAGAGAGAGAGAGAGGGGCTACAGGCACTGAGTGAGAGAGAGAGAGAGGGGCTACAGGCACTGAGAGAGAGAGAGAGAGAGAGAGAGGGGGGCTACAGGCACTGAGTGAGAGAGAGAGAGAGAGAGAGAGAGGGGCTACAGGCACTGAGTGAGAGAGAGAGAGAGAGAGGGGCTACAGGCACTGAGAGAGAGAGAGAGAGAGAGAGAGAGGGGCTACAGGCACTGAGAGAGAGAGAGAGAGAGAGAGAGGGGGGCTACAGGCACTGAGTGAGAGAGAGAGAGAGGAGAGAGAGGGGCTACAGGCACTGAGAGAGAGAGAGAGAGAGAGAGAGGGGCTACAGGCACTGAGAGAGAGAGAGGGGCTACAGGCACTGAGAGAGAGAGAGAGAGAGAGAGAGAGAGGCTACAGGCACTGAGAGAGAGAGAGAGAGAGAGAGAGGGGGGCTACAGGCACTGAGTGAGAGAGAGAGAGAGAGAGAGAGAGGGGCTACAGGCACTGAGAGAGAGAGAGAGAGAGAGAGAGAGGGGCTACAGGCACTGAGTGAGAGAGAGAGAGAGGGGCTACAGGCACTGAGTGAGAGAGAGAGAGAGAGAGAGGGGCTACAGGCACTGAGTGAGAGAGAGAGAGAGAGAGAGACCACAGACGGGATCCCGGGGCCGGACAGACAGGAGAGGAGAGGACAGACAGACGGGAGAGGACAGACAGACGGGAGAGGACAGACAGACGGGAGAGGACAGACAGACGGGAGAGGACAGACAGACGGGAGAGGACACTCTCCTCTCCTGCAGTTCACTTGCAGTTTGGTTCTCTGACCAACTCAGTCCCTCAGAACTGCACTTCACTGCAGAGCCCATGGACCCGATCACAAAGTGGAGCCCGAAACAACTGGTGGAGTGGATTAAAGGTGAGAAGTTTGTCGTTTTAGGGAGAGGGAGAGAGAGAGAGAGAGAGGGAAGGAAGGAAGGAGTGGGGGAAGAGAGGAGAGAGTGAGAGAGCTCCACTCCAGAGAATCCCAAAGGTCCCCTCACCCCTCTCTCTCTCTCCCTCTCCCTCACCCCCTCTCCCTCTCTCTCTCTCTCTCCCCCCCTCCCTCTCCCCCTCCCTCTCTCTCTCCCTCCCTCCCTCTCTCCCTCCCTCTCTCTCTCCCTCTCCCTCTCTCTCTCCCTCATGTGGAAGGCTTCTGCCTCACTTTGTAAACTTATTTTGTGTTGGGCCGCGTCTCCTTTCCAAGTTGTGCTTTTTCTCCTCTCTTCCCCCACCTGACTCTGTCTGTCTGTGTGTGTCTGTCTGTGTGTGTGTGTCTGTGTGTGTATCTGTCTGTGTGTGTGTGTGTGTGCATCTGTCTGTGTGTGTGTCTGTCTGTGTGTGTGTGTGTCTGTCTGTGTGTGTGTGTCTGTGTGTGTCTCTGTGTGTGTGTGTCTGTCTGTGTGTGTGTGTCTGTCTGTGTGTGTGTCTCTGTGTGTGTGTGTCTGTCTGTGTGTGTGTGTCTGTCTGTGTGTGTGTCTCTGTCTGTGTGTGTGTGTGTGTCTGTCTGTGTGTGTGTCTCTGTCTGTGTGTCTGTGTGTGTGTCTGTGTGTGTATCTGTCTGTGTGTGTGTCTGTCTGTGTTTGTGTGTGTGTGTGTCTGTGTGTGTGTGTATCTGTCTGTGTCTGTGTCTGTCTGTGTGTGTGTGTGTATCTGTCTGTCTGTGTGTGTGTGTCTGTGTGTGTCTCTGTCTGTGTGTCTGTGTGTGTGTGTCTGTCTGTCTGTGTGTGTGTCTCTGTGTGTCTGTCTGTGTGTGTCTGTCTGTGTGTGTGTCTCTGTCTTGTGTCTGTCTGTGTGTGTGTGTCTGTCTATGTGTGTGTGTGTGTCTGTCTGTGTGTCTGTGTGTGTGTTGTGTGTCTGTCTGTGTGTCTGTGTGTGTGTGTGTCTGTCTGTGTGTCTGTGTGTGTGTCTGTCTGTGTGTGTGTCTCTGTCTTGTGTCTGTGTGTGTGTGTCTGTCTGTGTGTGCTCTGGTTTGTTAAAGGCCAATTGAATTAAAATGAGTAGTTTATCCTCACTTTGGGGACATGAATTGGCTTTATTTTATCTTATTTGTCTCAGGTTCATGAGTGAGTTTCCCAGGATTTGTTTTGTGATTTTAGAAATGTTTTGTGAAGTGAGCTAAAAAAAGCTTTAGAAATGAGTGCGTTCAGAATAAAAACTTATCCTCTTAAATGTCTGACTCTCGCAGTAGAGAGAGTCTCTTTCTAACTATTGGGTATTTTTATTTCTATGTTACTGTTCTCAAGGAGTGTAAATGCCATTGATTGGTGGATCGCTTCTATGTGGGTAATAATCACTCCCAAAATTAAAAAAAGAGTTCTGTAGCTCAGTGGTTAGAGCACTCGCCTCACAAGCGAGTGGACCTGGGTTCGATTCCCAGGCAGAGCGAAACATTGGGCAAGTTTCCTTACTCCACACGCCTCTGTTTACTTAGCGGTGAATAGGAACCCGGTTGTTAGTCAACTGGCAGATCGTTTTTCCAGGCGTAATAATCCCTTCAAAATAAATAAATAATGAATAATAAATTGGTCACTCAATCTACAACTGTTTGGTGGACACTGCTGTGCACAATTGGTTGTTGAGTTTTGCCGCAAAATATACAGTAAATTCACTTTACAGTATATTCTGTGAAGCACTTTGAGATGCCTCAAAGACGTGATGAGGCGCTATATCAAATGCAATTATTAAATATCATTACCGCTTACACCTTCCCTCCTGCATGTTGTGGGTTTTCTGTGGAAAAATAGTTGTGAGTCAGTTTTTTTCCATGGGAACAAGTTCTGAGCTATTCAGACCACTCTGGTAACCCAGCTTATCTTTCTCTCTTGTGAAAGTGTACACACACACACATTGCAACCACACTCTGTTTGCTTAAACAATGTAAATAGACTGTCAAAACCTTTCTGGATGGAATGAGCAACTGAGAAGAGGGTTTGTTTTCTTAGGGAGCATTGGAACTGTCTGTGAAGTGGACACAATGTTTTTATATCTTGTATTTGGAGTACTGTAGCTCAGTGGTTAGAGAACTCGCCTCGCAAGCGAGAGGACCTGGGTTCGATTACCTGGCAGCGAGTAGGATTCCGGTTGTTAGTCGATTAGTGGATTGCTTTTCTGGGGGTAATAATCCTTCAAAAAAAAATAATTTGGTCACTCAGACACTGCTTGTGGGAGACTGCTGTGTGCAATTGGATGTCGCGTTTCGCCCACAAACTATAGTCAATTCACTTTACAGTATATTCTGTGAAGCGCTTTGAGACGTCTCGAAGACGTGATAAGGTGCTATATCAAATGCAAGGGTTAATATTATTACTGCTGGTTCAGTGGTTAAATTTAGTTTGACATTGAGTCACACAGTTTGGGAAGGTCCCAGGTTAGACTGCGAGGGATGGTGCCATTGACTTCATTATTCCCAGGGTTTGGTTTGGAGGAGGAGAGAAAGACTGATCAATGACTCGCTCTCTAAATAAGAAGAAAGTAAGCCACTGAGCACTTTCAGATGCCCTCTCCACATAATAAAAATAATCCTTGCATTTGACATAATGCAAGGATTGTCACGTCTTCGAGACATCTCAAAACACTTCATATAATATACTGTAAAGTTAATTGACTGTATATTTTCACTGACTTTTCAATGTTGCTTCCAGAGAGAGGGTGGGGGGAAGAGAAGTGGGCATATTTGTGAAGGTGCCATAGAGCCAATTTTCCATGAAGGGTGCTATTTCAAAAGCAAGGCTTATTGTTAGCTCTGGTGATAATAATATGTTAACAATATGGCTGATTGACCTCCGCCCAGCTCGCCCCACCATCGGCAGTCGGGCCTTCAGCCTCTCTGACACCACCCTTTGGAACTCCATCCAACAGTCCTTTGCCTTGCTCCCTCTCTTGCCTCCTTCAAAGCACGTCTCAAGACTGTCCTCTTTGACCGTGCCTTCGGTCAGCCCCCTACCCCTGCCCTCCACCCCTCCTGATCCCAACCTCCTGCTCGAGTCCAAATCCCTGATTATCCAGTGCCTTGTCCTCCCAACATGAAAGGCGCTGTTTAAAATGTTGGTTGTTGGTGCATATATACTGTAGAGTTATTTAACTTTTTTTTAAAGTGGCCAAAATATCTAAGCGATAGATCTGGTTCGCTTCCCGGTCAGGGCAAGTTTCATTACTCCATAGGCCTCTGTTTACCTAGCAGTAAATAGGAACCCAGTTGTTAGTCGTTGGCAGATCACTTTTGTGGGGGTAATATTCCCTTAAATAAAAATAATAATTATTTGGTCATTCAATCCACAACTGTTTTTGTGCATGGGCTGCTGTGTTTTGCCCACAAAATACACAATGCATTGTGTGAAGTGCTTTGAGATGTCTCGAAGATAAGATAAGGCGCTTTATCAAATGCAAGGCTGATTATTATTATCAATTTGGACTCTGTGCTTTTAACATGACTTGAAGAGGGGACCAAATTTTCCCTAAAATCTTTTATGAAGCCCTCCCTCCATCTGTTTCTGCTGGTATTGTCTTATCACCTCTGAAGATTCCAGTAACTTTGACGAAGCAGTGCACATCTGCGTGTGTTAGCCGATTCCACCAGCTATTTTCAGGTGGGGGAGTGGATAAAATGTTCCCAAATTCTCAGCAGCTGTAGAAAGAGAGAGAGAGTATGTATGTGTGCGTGAGTGTTATTGTCTTCTCTGATTACTGAACTATTTGAGTTTACTGCTGCTGAACAACTTTCTAAACATACCAGAGATGAATCCCAAGTATTGTATGTGGGTTCATAGATGTTTGGATTGGGTGGGAGGGGGAGAATGAGAGAGGTGGGGCGGTGGAGAAGAGAGAGAAAGCGAGCTATCAACCCATTAACTATGGTCTATTTCCAGCAGACCATTTTGAAGTGAACTACAGTGTAATTAAATGTGGTTGTTTTTGCCAAAATTCTTTTCAGTGACCAGTTCCTCAGTATAATGTTGTAAAAGCTAACTTATAAAGTAAACTTTCAGTTGTCAGTTATTTGCCTAATTTATGAAAGCAAGGCTTATGGTCACCCCGAGTTGTTGGAATTTCTGCTAACCTGGATTCACGCCAGAGTTCTGCAATTCAACATAAAGGTCACTTTTTTAAATATTTAACAAAGAGATTCAAGAGGTTCATGAGTTGAATCATTTAGCGCTGATGTATTCCCACTAATTTGAAACAAAATCTTTCTCAGCCAACCTTGTGAAATCTATGCGGAGTGTAACTCTTAAGTACTTTCACTGGAGGTTCAAATATTTCTACAGATTTGTAATGTGACCCGTGCACTTTGTGAAACTCTGGATTTGTTTTGGTGTGACTGACAAATACCAAATTGCAGTTTGCTGATAAAATATAGAAAACTCTTTCTCTTATTATATATTTAAAAAAATACTTTGAAGTATCCAACTGTACTTTTGAGAGCAAATTATTCCCATGAACTTTTCTCTAGCTTTCTGCGTTCTCATCATGTAGGCATGACACAGTGCACCTTAACCCTGCTCTTTAACTTCCATTTGAAGCTGGGTTGACATGAATCCAAACAACTTTCCAATGGTAAACATTGTTGTTTGAACAAAGGAAATAACTGGAGAGGGAAGAAAAAGATCCACTCCTTTATCCCAGGAACTCTCTTGCCTCCCAAATCCTGTGGGTAGGGATTACCCATCTATAATAGAAAAAAATGTATTGTTCAAGAACTTCGCATTATCTGCTTAGAGTTCCATTTTGACAAGTCTGTGTATTCGGATGTTGAAATATCTTTGTGATCTAAGTGATCTACCCTTTTGATTGAGAACTGCCAGTACTTTTCACCTTGTCTATATATTCTATGCTGTCACTTGCTTCTTCTCCAATTCTCAACAGTTGACTTTCTGTCCT